CCAGCACCAAAACTATTTAAATGAAATAGTATTTGGGAGTGAAAATACATATGAATATTCACAATTTATACCTAAGAAAGGTTGAAATATTGATCATTGAGTTTTAAATTGCTGCTGATAATGGAGGTATCTCATCTCATCACAGCTGAACTCATCACATCTCATCTCATCTCAAGAAAAAATAGATTGTATAAGATAACAACAATATAAGTACACTTACAACAATTGAAGGAACTACAAAAATGGAATAATAATTTCGCACCGAAAGTATAGTTAGTGGTACTTAAGTTAAGTCAGTCTCTTACCCCGGACAAAATAGGTCTTGCTTTATAATATGAGCGCAAAATGTTAAATTTACTTAGGGATCTCACTTTGTGCGCAACGCCGGTTTCACCTTGACATTTCAATATTCGCCGAATGGGGAACTGATAAGATTTTTTGAGATAATCACTTCTTCCAATTCTGAGAGTTAGCCGATTTTACCAAATATCTTTAGCAAAGAAGATATTCAAAAATATACTGCTGTATATACAAAGTTATTATAAATAAATGTCAAATAATTTGCCCCGTCTAAAATTTTGTGAAGTCTGTCCTGTAAAAAATGCGTTCGTCTTTTAATCAGTAAGAATCGAAAGCCATAATTTGGGGTCCTTTGCGGCTCTCCATTATTTAAACAAAGCGTTGGCATTTTTTGCATATACCTATACATACCTAGTAATTTAGCTATGGCCTCGAGCGAGGAAAAAAAAATATTTTGGTACATAGTTGGGGGAAAAATAATATTTCATTTTTAATCCTTAAACAAAATATATATGCGTCACATATTTATTACACACTGTAGGCATAAAGAAACATAAAGGGCGGCGCAAGATAAGAATAAGCACAAGAAAGCGGTTCCCTATAGAAACCTCATAACTCCTACCTACGCACACACAGAATGATAGGCGCTTTAAGCAAATATTTACTTTTTACTTTACGAAAGCGGGGCATAACTTAACTTTGCTGCAAATTCGTTTGAGTGGGCACAGTCGAGCGTGGCAGGCACATAGGACATGCAGATAATAGGCGTAATGAAGAATACACTAGGGAGAGATTAGTAAGAATAAGCATGCGCCAACAACAAAGCAGGAAGAGCGAAATAACTTAAAAAAGGGAAATGCGCAAAAGTTATTCATTTGTATGGGGCAGAGGACTTGCGTAGGAAAGAAGAAGAGCAATTACCAAACCAAACTAACTACCTCCCCTACAACAAAACCAACAAGTCTTATGTTGCTTAACGATTTGCTCGCCTCAGTGCACGCCCACCTTTGTACCTAGTACATTAGAGGCGAATGTGTGAGACCCTAAATGTGTCGTTGTGGCCGCTTTGTGTGCGTCCTGCTGCTTAACGGTGCTTGCGGCAAAGTGGCAATAGAATTTTGATATTATTTACGATGCGCGTACGTTATTTGACCTTAGCGGCCGAGCATAAATTATCGGCACGCATTCACGTACAGAGCTCGAACGGCCTCGAAGAACCTTTATGCGCACGGAGGTTTATTGAAAAAGGGCGCACTTCTAAACACCATCACGCGGATTATCGACCAAATTATGGCGATTTTATGTGGGCATGGAGTTTCAAATTTATTTGCTATTTATGTGTATGCATAAAGAGGAGTAGACCGAAGGCGCAGACCTGCAGCGCAATAAATAGCTGCCTCTACTGAGTATAAGTTGAACCTGCCAACCAAATTCGCTTGAATTTATACCTAAAGCGCGGTTCAATTTTAGGTACAAACATATTTTATTATATTTTATATGTGCGGTCTGAGTTGCAGTACCTTTTTCCGAAGCTTTAAGGTAGGAGCACCAAGCACGGGGTATATTTGTCGCTGCTTTTTCACATAATGCGTTTTTGGTCGCACATAAATAGAGGCTTACTCAAGCAAATTTATTTTCCTATGTGAAATGTGTATTATAACATATTAGCGGCTGTAAGTTTCAGCCCAAAACTGAGTATGTTAAAAGCGCCTAAAGGTAGGCAACAGTAACACTGTTTTCTAACTAATTTCAGATATTTTTCAAATAAATCTCTCTTAAAGCTCTGTTCAATCTTATTTGGGCAACGTAAGTAAATAACGTTTTATGGTGCAGAGATATACTCATTTCAGTTTTTAACATTTTTGAGTCACCTAAAATGAATGTGAGATGTTGGCTCTATTTCTAAAAATAACCATAAATGTGAACCTAAAACATTGTGTATACCAAATTAAGTGTGAACAGTAGAAGCAATTAGCCATAAGGAGCTTCTTTGTAGAATATGGTCGAACGAAAGCATGCCGGTCGATTGGAATTTAAGTGTGCTCTGCCCAATCAAAAAAAAAGGGAGACCCCGTAGTCTGCGTAAACTACCTTGGCACCTGTGGCTGAGCTTATTGTGTGAAAGGTTAAAGCCCATTGTACACAAACTGCTTGGACCTTATCAATGTGGCTTTAGACCTCATCAACTGACCAGATATTCACCATGTAGCAAATCTTGGAAAGCACCCGTGAAAAGAGGATCGAAACACATCTATTCGTCGATTTCAATGTTGCATTTGACAGTGCAGAAAGGAGCCTTATGCTGCTATGCCTGAATTTTTTATACCCGCAAAAATAATATGTCTCTGTAAACTAACGTTGAGCAATACCAAAATCTCCGTCAGGAGCAGAACGGGCCTCTCAGAATCGCTCGACACCAAACTAGGTTTCGGGAAAGGCGACTCCTTATCGTAAGACTTCTTCAATCTACTGCTCGAGAAAATAATTCGAGCTACAGATCTGAATAAAGAATGTCTTTATTCTGTTCCCTCTAGGCTGGATAAAGAAGCAATTGGTCTGGTAGTGAAGGCGTCCAGCTCTGAGAGTACTCAACGCCGTACCCGCCAGAGAAAGCAGAAGCAGAGGCCTCCACTCTTTCGTAAACACCTCTCTTTGTAAACTGACAGGTGAAGAATTACCTGACTGCACTCGGAATCTTCCAGTTGGCGCTAAACAGCGAAAAGAAAGAATTCGATTATTTTATTTAACATGGTTTTAATCGAACAGAATTTACCCATTAAAGAAATCTTTCAAATTTTCGATAAAATTATAGCTCTGCTTTGACGACCTCTTCTTCATTATTTCTAAATTTCTTTTTAGTGGGTTGGGTTTGGTTCGGTTGATTCGCTAGTCTATTTAAAGACTGCCCTTGGACTACTTTAAACATTCCTTTGTGAAGAGATAAATCAGTCTCATATGATCCAACTATTGTAGTGTGCTTTAAACCGGAGTTGCTGTCGTTAAGGTAGCGGTAGGTTTATTGATCTAAAGGCTACCTTTTACAGAGAAATAACTATCCACTCTTAAAGAATGACAATAGTAGCCTCGCACTCATTAATCTTGCGTTCAAGACTGATTAAGAATGCCTAACCTGGTTGTCAATGGCATGGACTCACCTTGTGCTAAAACTAGTATGTGTGCCAGGCCACAGCGGAATCGCAAATAACTGTTAAGCTGACGAAATTTGTGGTTATTTTATTGTTCTAACTGTAGCTATTTTGCTATAAGATGACATGAAAAAAGCGCTCTATTCTAGAGCTCTGATTAGACATGATTGGGAGTAAACGTGCTTAACATAAGTGATTTGAGTAAAATAATTTGTGCAAGCTCATTGCACTATAGTCTATATCCGTTATCATATCTATTTACCTTACCATTAACATATTTATGTTTTGTGTAAAGTTCTGCTAGAAGATTTGAGCAAATCCAGGGAGCAATAAAATAATATTTTAACTCAAATTTGAGCCCAAGCTTTTCGAAGTCATTCGAAGTAGTTCGCCTTTCGAAGGCTATGGATAATTAAATATTTTTTATGGTATAAGAATTGCGCTTGTAAAGGCTATAATAACATCGATGCAGAGTTCCGTTCCGAAGTTAGTGTTGATTTGTGTATTTATATGTATGAGATGGATACTCTAAAAACTAAATATTTTTCAATTGAAATTGGAAAATATATTTAAATTTATTTCAAGGTGATTTTCAGAAATACAGAGAGATAGAGACGAGTTTACTGAATACAATTCCACCGCCGACACATTGTGCTTGCTTAACCAAGCTAGGCTTTTGATTTACATTTAAAATATCCAACTTCTGTTAAAAGGTAACATGGTTTCCTCGGGTAAAATACAGTTTTTCTTAGATTTTTTTTTTTTTTCAAATAAAAAATTACATATAAACATTATGAAATTTTTAGAAAAAAGTATTTTAAACTCGGCCATTGCAATGCCACTTAGCAGGATAATTCCTAACGGGATCATTTAATGTGCAATAAGATACGAGTTTTTGCTAAAACCTCAACTTAAAACTGTGAAAAAGGAAAAAAAACTGAAAATTGGATTTTTGCCACATTTTTTACAAAAAAAATTAAAATATCAGAGAAAATTTCGCGAGATTTTTTTTCAAATATTTTTAGAATTGTATCATCTGTGGAAAATTTCATGAAGATTAGTTGAGTAGTTCTCGAGAAAACTTTCAAACCGTCTTCGAAAACTCTGTTTCGAGAAAAACCCATTTAAAGACGGCGCTCTTAGCCTAGCTGGCCTCGAGCGCACAAGTTCTCAAGGCTCTATGTTCAAAACTATTTCTCCGATCAACTTGAAAATTCAGGGTAATATTCTAGAGGAGTTGTAGAATTTAATAAGGCAATAAAAAGAGATAGATTTTTGAAACCCGTAAACCCATGTAACCCAAATTAGATGGAAACCCTTTTTGCTACGTTACGCAATTTGTATATTTTTCTATCATTATATATGAATATTCAGTTAATTGTACTTATACCACCTATCCGCCCTGAACAAGGTTTGGCTAGCATATAATAGTTATTAAGTTATACTTAGTAGACAAAAAACAGAATTTGCATATTTAAAAACACATTTCCGGCCGTAGATTTATTTACTCATCTACCAATTTTTGTTTTTGTTTTCGTTTTCGTTCGTACTCACCTGGCTCCAGCGTCGTCGCCAGTAGTATCGATGGCAGGCAAAGTAGTATTATCCGAATTTCCAGCATGTGCATTGGCATTAATATCGGTGACATTTGTGTTTGTAAAATACGCGACGAAACGTTGGCGCAGCAGCGACAGCCGAGTAGACACCCGCTGATAAGCGCGTGTAATGTCGTAAGTTTTCACACTTCTTCTTGTTGTTGTGATAGTTTGGTCTCGCCTAGTGTGCTGATACGCTCACTCATTAGGGTTAATGTGTTTTTGAACTGAAGTCGTCGCAAGAAGCACGGCCGATAAGTGTGGCGCATAAATTTTGCATTGCCGCGCCGTTATAACGGTGCTTTCAATAACGTGCATATATGCTTGAAGGTATGTGTTTATATGTTTTCTTATGCTTTATGCAAGAAATACACTGCCGCTTTGATAAATTATACAAAACTGCTGTCGTTCTTATGTTTCTCGTGTGTAGCCTACTTCTGGCACGCCCCCTATACGTTATTTATATTCGTATTGCTTGTCGTGACAATAATGTCTTCTGCTGGTAGTGCAGATTTGCCTTTTCACTTTCTGCACACTCTTCCAGCTTTGTTCCTTTCTCCTTTCTTAGTATGGAAGTCTTCTGCTTTTTGTGGCCAGTGCTTTCATTTTGGCAGTAATGTCTGTATGTCGGCAAGGTTTTTTTGGCGCTGCCGTTACTTTGCTTATTGCTGTTGTGCTCTCTTCGACTCTTTTCACTATGTTACACTTATTACATTAGCATTTTTTCATAACGTCTTTCTTGTCATCGCGCGCTTTTCACTTCCCCTCCTTCACTTCTGCAACCATATCTGTTGCTTTGTTAGCGTTTCTGCTTTCCAGTGCTCTTTCTGCTTCCTTTTTCCTTTTATTTGACCTAATAATGTGTTGTTATTGCATTGAATGTGGCGCTTTAGCTCGTATGCAATAACTCGAATTTCATGTTTTTCACCATAATTTCATATAAACATCATTTTTCATGTGAAAATCGCTATGCTTGCAATTTCTTGTGTGTGCGAAGCACTTCTTCAGCTGCGTGCCTTTGCCCTTGCGTTTTGCTACCATCCCCCAATTTGCTCGTTTATTGCGCGCCCGTTCAGCTCCGCTCACCCGCTCACTTGCTGCTTTGTGGCATTAATATCATTTGTAGCGAGCACAAGTACTTTAGTTGGTTTTTATTTGCATTGAATCTTCGCCTCGGCTTGTAATCTTATTTGTATTTCTTGTTCAGTTCGCGTGTTTTTTGTGGGCTCGCACTATCCTCCTGATTTGATAAATGAGTTTGTTATGCAATTTCGCACACACACACACACACACATACACTTCTATGTGTGTTTTTTCCAAACTCCGCATCGGTTGTGCGTTTTTTGCCGTCACATTCGTAGATATGCATGCAACAATTTATTTTCGCATTCCAAATAATCAGTTGCAATTGTTATGCGATTTCTGTAATGGAGAAAAAAGCGTAGGTAAGTTATAAAGCACGCACAAATTGAATATAATAAATTGTGGATTTGTATATTTGCCCTTAATAGGGTTGGAGGTGTTTACAAAAGCAATTTCTATTGCCTTGTAATTTATGGATTTGCTGTGACAACTTTAAGCCACGTCCGTAGCACCTTCTTTGTGATAATGGAACTGCCGCCTGGTCGTACAAACTTTCACCACTCATATATCCAATACATATATATGGAGTTTGTATTCATAAAATATATGTTTATACATATATATGTTCATAGATATGTATAGTTAAACCTAGCCGTTTTCTAAGAACGAACTTTGTTATACCAACATTTGTTTTTATAGAGTTCAACGTCTAAAAACACAAAGCGTTTGGAATGATTAATTCTTAGGTGAATGTTTACATGCTACTTCAGGTACTATATTTCAAATAATTAATTGTATTTTCAGTAATTCGACTAAAAGAGTTAGAAGCGATGTTAGTTATATTTTATTCAATTGGGTGATGAATGGTTTCATTTTTGTCCTTTAGAATAAGCCCAATGCATCAGATGGAATTAGATACATCTCTAAATATAATAAGGGGTCTGGCATCAAACTCAGCTGTATCGTAATGAAGTCCCTACTTTTAAAAACGTTAGATTGGAATAATGAAAAATTTGCAGATGAGTCAACATTTGTATTGTGCAACACTTTGAGACATGCTTCGCAAAGAAAAGTGCAGACATTTATTCAGGGCGGTGCTAAGCACCGCTAACATTTTCATTGGTACCAAATATTCAAAAAGTGTCAAGAATGCATTCATTATGAATCACGTTCAAGGCGGCTATCAACATCAACTGATGATCAACACTCCAATAAACACAAAGGAATGTTGCTTGAGAATCGACGATTAACAGTCACAGATCATACTGGCATTGTTAGAATATCGGAATGATCGTTGAAAACTATTTTGATGTTTTGGGCCTAAGAAAAGTAAAAGCACGATTGGTTGTAAAATGCTTTCCGACTACTGCGATGTCATGGCGATGAGTTTTGGATCTATGCCTACAACCCGGAAAGAGATAATCAATGTTACGAATGGCGTGGTTTTGGCCCACGATAATGCACCGCCGCATCAATCGCATACTGCATTGATTTTTCGTGAGTTTTTCGTAAAATTTTCAAAAATATATTGTCGCAACCATCGTACTCGCCTGATTGAGCTGCGTGTGACTTGTGGATATTCAGTAAACTCAAACCGCACCGGTAAAACCGCTTTGAATCAATTGTGCAAGTAAACATGAAAGTGTTTCGAGGTTGGAATAAACCTTTGTACAGTTGTTTTGGAACCAAGGGGGATTACTTTGACGGCGACTACATATCTAGATTTTAAAGAAAAAATTAAGAATTTTATAATTATACCCAAATGTCCAAGGTATTACTATTTTTTGCACTTCGTAGTATGATGCTTACCATTCTATGGGGTTCCTAAAATTATGAAAAATATTGCTAATAAGTGCTATTTACTTACTAGAGAAGATCACGTCAAAATGCCAAAGAAGACGCACATGAAAAAACATAAAATAATACCGAACCAAATGCTTTTTGTTTGTAATTTTTCTTTATTTTTATGTTAACGGTAGAAAGCTAGAAAAAAGCTGTACTCCAGTTATAATGACACTTTCCGTTCAGTATTCATAATAGGCGGCTATTATGAAAAAAATCGAAATTCAAGGTACCCAAAAACCCACTCATTTGTACACAAGTGCAAGGAAATGTTTAGAAAATGTTCGTACTTCATGAAAACTCAATTTATTTTAATACAAACTCACTTGTGTACACAGATATAGCATATAAACGCACACACAAGCAATTGTATATTTCAGCAAATATTAGAATATGGTTGTTCAGAAGCTGGTCGGTAAATACTTACTTTGCATTATTCATGAACCACAATGCGGTTCTTCATATTTAATGAATTGCTATATAATAAGGCATTCAAAGCACGCACCCACCGCAATTACTCCCCCCCGCAAATTTACTAGCATTTCCACTCACACAACCTTTTGCGCATACAATCTGTCCACTCGCTCAACTGTGTTATCACCAGCAATGACAACAACTACGACGACAGCAGCACATAACAATAATAGCGATGGCAGCATCAACGGTCACTTCCGGCACTGTCAACGCAATTTATTCATTTTTATAAATTTCCGTAATAAAAATGAAAATGTTTATGAATTTTCTTCATTTCGCTTTTGCTCTACGCATTGCATTTGCCGCCTTCCTTCGCTCGCTTTCCTTCAGTATATCACTTTTGATGTTGATTTGGTTTTCGCTCTTTTTCAAAGCGGTTGTAAATATTTCACTTCCGTTGTGGGATTTTCACAGCGCAACTGCGCGTCCGCCCACAGCAACAAAGCACATGTTTGTATGCGTGTATGTGTGTGTGTGAATGTAGACGCAGCGTTGCTGGACAGCCGCTGGTTGCGCGCGACTAAGCGCCAGTGTGTAGCCATGCGTTTAGTGCGTACTGCGTTGGCTCAGAGGCGAGCCGGGCAGCCAGCGAGGAGCCACCGTTGCAGCGTGACTTTGTGGTTAGATTTCTGTAATCGTCAAGCAGCGTCAACAATGGCCAAGCAGTCCTTGTGGCACTGATTATGTTATGGCCCACGCCAAATCCCATGACAGGAATTTATTTCAATGCGCGCAGAGAGCGAGACAAGAAAGCTGCTTTCGACTAAAAGCGTTTGGTTGACATTCGCTGGCGCTCGCTTTTGGCGCTGGTTCACTTTTTCGCCAACGCTGTTAGCTGGTCAACGCTATGCAAATATTCCATTAACTTATATAGCTTCTGCATAACTTTTGTCTTTGACTGCTCTCTTCTAGTTGTAATTTTATACCCAATGCATTATGTCAAGTTGTGAGAGTTTATCGTTTCTTCATATATTGAAACAATGAACCCAACTATCGTCTATTTTTTAGGTATCTTACTGTGCCAGAATGGAGTATAAGAAGAAGTAAGTTGAATAGGTTACATGAAGGAAGCCGAGATAGAGATGTATACATGTTTCCTCCACTATCCAGTTTTCACTAGACCAAGGTTTTATTATTTTGGTAGGTAAGCCTTGTACGAAACTGGCGTGTTGTCTGGGATTGATAAAAGCCATCTCGAAAAATTTGTGATTCCTTAATAAAACGGGTGATCCAAATAGAGTTACTTTCTTCAATAGCATTTTTAGACAGAGCACGCGAGAGTCGAGTCAAGCTATCATGTTCTTCTTGTACAGTACAAGACTCTTGTTTGTGTAAGAACTTAAGCCGCTCGACCTTCTCAAGCGACATCGCTTTGCTCTATGGGCATTTGAAAAGTTCCAAGAAGATCCAACGTTTTCGACTCAAATTGTTTTAGCCATTTCTGGCTCAATGGGATGTAAACAAGCTAAATAGCCGCACTTGGGACAAAGAGCAACCTGAAGAGATTCAAGAGCTGCCATTTAATTCAGAAAATACAACGATTACGAATCATCGGTGTGTATGTTTTTTTATTCAAAAAAGTAGGGAACCTCGATTAGGCTCACCATTAATATACTATAATTTCGTAATTAAATATTTAATGATAAACTATTATTTGACATTTATAGTCAAAAAATGAAATAATTTGAATGGCCCTTAATATAACTATCAAATATCAAATAATTTTTTTTTTGTTAACAAACATATATAAAAACCCTCAAATGTTACATGCACGTGGTATAAAAACTTCTGCGTGCAGCAGACGAGCTAAAAATTCATTGCTCGTTTTTATCCACATTTTGCTATTCACTTTTTCTGCTAGTTATCATGCTAGTGAGTTATGTGGCCATGCTGTCAGCGGAGAGTTGACTCGAAATTTATGACACGCCATAAGGATATGCGAGAAATATTTGCATGCACACATTTTTATATATTTGATGGCTCTTATAATATATTTGCTTAAATAAGAATGTAGAAATACACAGTTGAATATATATGTATATATTTATGAGGAGAAGTATTAATCAAAAGCGATAGTTAAGAGAACTTAATGGCCTATTACAGAAATATTTTTTGTTAATATCAACAGGCCGTCTGAATATTCCACAATAATACGGAAAGACCCTATTCTATTTCTTAATTGGCGTAGACACCACTTACGCGATTATAGCCGAGTTAACAACCGCGCGCCAGTCGTTTCTGCCTTTCGGTACGTGACTGCTATTGGATATTCCAAGCGTAGCCAGGTTCTTCTCCACCTGGTCCTTCCAACGGAGTGGAGGTGTTCCTCTTCCTTTGCTTCCCCCGACGGGTACAGCGTCGAATACCTTCAGAGCTGGAGTGTTTTCGTCCATTCGGACAACATGACGTAGCCAGCGAAGCTGCTGTCTTTTAATTCGCTGAATTATGTCAATGTCGCCATATATCTCGTACAGCTCATCGTTCCATCGAATGCGACATTCGCCGTGGCCAACGCGCAAAGGATCATAAACCAGAATTTTTCTCTCGAAAACTCGCAACGTCGACTCATCAGTTTTTGACATCGTCGAAGCCTCTGCATCATATAGCAGGACGGGAATTATGAGTGACTTATAGAGTTTGGCTTTTGGTCGCCGAGAGAGGACTTTGCTTCTCAATTGCCTACAGTCCGAAGTAGCACTTGTTGGCAAGAGTTATCCTGCGTTGGATTTCCAGGCTGACATTGTTGGTGGTGTTTACGATGGTTCCAAGATATACGAAATTATCTACGACTTCAAAGTTTTGACTGTCCACAGTGACGTGAGAACAAAGTCGCGAGTGAGACGACTGTTTGTTTGATGACAGGAGATATTTCGTTTTGCCCTAGATACCAATATCATCGGAATACGCCAACAGTTGTACACTCTTATAGAAGATCATACCTTCTATATTTATTTCTGTAGCTCTAATTATTTTCTCCAGAAGCAGGTTGAAGAAATCGCACGATAGGGAGTCGCCTTGTCTGA